TTATGATTTCAGGGAGCTACTTCACTAAGAATAATTTTAACCAGGTATCTTATCTTTTCAAAAGATGAGGTTTTTTGTGACTGTAAGGTTTTTTTCATTGATACTGAATAAGCTGAAACTCAATAGTGCCTATTTTTATGTTCAAAAATATTATTTCCCTCCTTTTAGTAGTAGTATTTCATTATATATAAGATTGCTGTCATTATATATGAGCTTGTTGGATTCTGTAAAATTCAAATCAGTCCAGAAGCTGATCTGAAGGTGTTAAAATAAGAAGCACAAATCTGCTCCGATTCTTGTTTAAAAAAAAAAAAAAATCAGTATTTACATCCATTTGATCCAGACTATTTTCCCATTTTGTAATTAGTATTTGAAATTTCTACAAAAAAACACTCTGAAAACAAAAAACAAAAACAAAAAAGGCAAACAAGGAGAACTAAAGAAGTTATTTTTAGAAGTAATTTTTAAATTCAAGAAAGGTGGTTGTCTTTATGTAGGCCAAACTGCAAACTCAATTTTATAGTATCATTGCTATTTTACTACTCGTTTGATAGGCCCCATTTTTAGGTTGCCAGGCATTTCAAAAAACACGAAACACGGCGAGATGTGTTTTGGGAGATATAATTCCCATATTAAACACATGGGATTGAACAGGAGACGATGAGTACTGCTGTACTGTGTGAATTTTAATAAAGATGACAAGAGCCTCCCTGGAAGGCAGCCACACACAAGTACAGTTATATGCATCACTTTGACAATAAGCTTGCTCCCAGCAGGTTACTGGGAAGGAAAAGGCTGTGCAGACATTAATAACGAGAGAGTGGCTACCAGAGAGACTCACCATTCACACCCTGGAGTGCAGCTACCTTAGCTTCCTCCCAGGGTCTGTGAAAAGTGATCAGCATCTCCTCAGTGGCCTCCATGGCCTGTGGAGGGATCCCAGAGATCCCAAAAACTGCGTGGGGGGAGCACAGGCAGCAGTGCTTAGGGCAGACACACACCAGGCTGGCTGCAGAGACCACAGCAATGTGCTGACCCTTCCGTGCCCACAGGAGGCTGTGGAGACTCGGCCACACGCTGGAAGCAGCATCATACATCACTAAGATTTTGGAATTACAGTCTCCTTACCACATGCCTGCAACCAAATCAGAACACTTTTATTCCTGTGGCTCTTAAGAGTTACACAACGCTCAGTTACCCTTGAACACTGATGCAAATGGCACATTGTTTTCTTCAATACTCTGCCCTAGAGCCTCATGCCAATGTTATCTTCTCTTCCTAATCCCCACCTCAAAGAAAGTAGAGGTGTTTCTAAAAACTGCTGTCATTGATGTGATTCATCAAATATCTTGAAATGAAACCAAACCATTAGTTCCTTCCCTCCATGTACTCCAAAAAAAAAAAAAACCAATCACATGTTCGGAGACTTACTAAAAAACAAATACCTATAGGGTACAAACAAGAAAGCCTATAATTTCAGGGCAGCCCTTTACCAAAAAGTATACTGGCAACTAGAGAGCCAGAAAGATTTCAGTGAAAACAAGGAAGTGAATTCTGGGAAAAACCAAAGCATTTTTTAAGCATGTCTTTGTAGAGCTGAATGCAATGAAGTTCTCAGTGCAAAGTCTGGGAACATTTTGTGCTACACAGCGTTGAAACAGTCTCATGTTTGTAGAAAAACGGTTACATCCATAAGCTGTGATTTCCTTTCACTGCCAATAATCTTCTATTTGTAGACATAATAGTCAGTAATGATAGGGGCCAGAACATGAATACTCCACATCCATACCCACATGGTGCTCTCAAAGGAAAACTTACCACTCCAAAATTCTCTCTCTACTCCTGCCTCCAATGGTACAGATTTTCAGCTGTTGCATATTGACATAGACCTCTTAATATTAATTCATATGAACTGATAACTCAATCAAAAAAGTAATTATACTCATCCTAAAATGGAAGTACATTGTTCTAGACCTCCAAATCTCGCAGGATTTGACAGGCCACCATAAAAGCAAGGGTTATAAACCTGAATTTATTATAGACAAACAAAGCTTTGCCCTATGAATTCTCTGCCTATTAAGTTAATGAGCCTTGACAAAACAATCATCTGAGGAGCAGCTGACAAATTATTTGCAGCAATTTGAAAGGCGTTGGCTGGCTTACAAACATTTCAGTTGGGAGAATATGGCATCATGTTCCTCTTCCTCTGGAAGAGTCATTTGTCAAACTGAATTTCTTGCAGATCAACAGCAGATTCCCAATATTGGAGCACAGAGATACAACAATAACTGTAATCACTAAAACAAGTAAATAATCCCTGCCATTTCCTCCCCAAACTTGAGACTCACAAATGCTGATGCAGAACTCTTTCTAGGAAGTCTGCATGAAGAAAGTGAGATACATTTTTATTTCTGACTGGAGCTCATTGAAGTGTTTAATGTGGAGGAAAAGAGCTTTGAGGAATTCCGGTGAGTAGAGTGGGATCTTTCAAAATATCTGATCAGTATTTGGAAGATTGTTTTTTTAGTATAACTTCTAGTAAAGATGGTGGTATACAGCTGTGGATTTAAACCAGGGTCTTTTACTGGATTAATTCTTCAAAATTTTCAACACAATACAGCCCTGAAGCACATTGCCTTTCGGAAACTTAGGGCTATGTACATTAAATACTCTTGCAAGAACAGTCATTTGCAATTGGGTAAAAATGAGATCAGTACTTTTCTAAAATCTGTTCTCCAACTGTGAATACTGACTCCATTTGGAAATTGAATCATGATCTGTTGTAAAGCTGTCACTTTCCTCACCAATGGCATTTGTTGAAATATTATTTCAAATGTCTTCCTCCAAACTCAACTATTCAGACTCCTGTGGAAAAGATGACAGTACTGAGAATGTGGAAAACTGTCATATTTTCCATCTGAATGTTCTTTCACAGTGTGAAGGAAGTACAAATTATAGTAATCAGTTGCCTCTGCAACAGCATGTAGCAGAGTATAGCGCAGAGCATTTAACCATGAGTTGTGTCACTTCTCATATTTTATGTTCTTTTTGCAGTTTTTGTTGGACTGTTCATTTAAACAAACTGATTAAATATACAGGGACTAGAGCTCAACATTACATCAAAGTAGAATGAAGATAAATGAAATCTTGCTCTTAAAGAGAATTGTTAATGCACTCTTAGTAGGATAACACCCAGCTTTCCAAGTCCTGAAGTCAGGTCATCAAATATCTCATGACCAAGTATTCAATCAATCAATCAATCATAAAACAAAAGAATGTACAGAATTACACATTTGGGTGCCAAAATGGCCTAGTTTTATGAGACCTCCAGAGCTCTACTAATTATTGACTACTAAGTATGTGGTTGCAAGAAGCAGCCTTAACATAATCTTTTCCTCCCACCTCCCTGCATGTCTACAGAGATCAACCATTTGGCAAGAAATTACCTCCCTCTGTGGTTAGCAAGGCACTCAATGCCATGGCCCCAACAACCCCTAGACACCACTCAGTCAACTCTCTAGTTTAAGTTGGAACCTATCTTTCTAAGCAGACCATTATAAGAGTCTTTCTATAATGAACTCTTCCATTGCCTCATTCTAAAACCTCAAAAGCACAGATAAATTACTCATATTTATACTTTACCTAAAGAAACAGAGTAATTTTACTATTTTTTGCCCACTTATGCGATTTAAGACAACATTAGCAGAGAAATTAAAATATTGTGGGTAGCTCTGTTAGTGCCTGGCACCCCTGTGCAGATATTTACACCTTTATTAAACACTGTACTAATCAATGTGTTTCACTCAAACTTGCACTGGGCTGGACACCTTGACTAATCACTTTGACCACTTTGATTAAGCATCTTTTTACAAATTCCAGAAGCTACACAGTTTTCATTCTAATAAGCTGACATCTTCTGCATGGTTTTGCCACATCTGTAACATTCTTTGCTATTATTTTTCTTCTTGCTTTTTTAATGGAGTTTTCAATTTCGTAGCATTGCAATGCCTTTCACAGCCGTCTTCTTAATCCCTGGGGTTTCTTTCCTGTTAGTGTATCTTACATTAATTTACCATTTTACTTTCCACTTACACACTTCTGCTCTTCTCTTCCCACATCGTTCTTAGCTTTGAAAAATGTTTTCTGTAGAAAATGTCAATGATCAAAGCTCCAAACACAATTATCTTTCTTCTATTCTGGAATATAAAAGATGATAGAATTTTTTCCTAACAAAGGGAGTACTCCAGAAAAATTGTGCATAACTCTTCCTCTATCTCCCAAATATTGTTTGCAAATGGTTTCCTACTATCCTTGTAGTCTATAGAAGAATGGCTGGGTTACACTAGCCTATGGTTTTGAACAGTCTGCTTTCCTTCATTAAATATTTATCAGGAGGCAATCAGTGACAATGTTTTACAGAAAGATCTGCCATTATTTCAGTTATGGAAATGTTCATCATTTTAGGCTTTCCTGACTGTCCTCTCAGAGCACAGCTAGCCTAGGGAATGCAAAATTTTAGATGCATTCTTAACCATGGTTTGGTGAGGGAGGTGATTATTTCTTGCTCTATTTCTTCTGAATAGCTTAGGCAGCTGTCCTATAAACCCAAAGATGCTCAGTGAACTAAGTATGTACAACAAAGGAATAAAGTGACTGAATCAAAACAAATTACTACAGCTTTCAGTGAAGTCTTGGTCCATACTCAAAGAGAAACAAACACTGAATTCAGTTGCAAAATGTGGTACATATTATGTAACCTATTTTAGAGCACCATTCCAATGGATTGAAACATTGCCTGTGTTCATCACTGGATTTTGGATGACCAAAATTATATACCAAGGTAGCATGTATCTCCCAGTGGTGCAGATATGAAAGCATGGTTAAAAATAAGCACAAGCTGTAGAAAAAGAAGGTCTATGGTGAAGATGCAAACTATGAGATAAATCCAGTGATGTTCATGCACTCTAACAAAGGAGGTGAGGAAGAAGCGCATGCAGTACCTGGTGATCTCAGAGTCAGGGAGCAGGCCTACGTGGTAGTGGGGGTAGGGAGCTGAAAGAAGGAAGCTTTTGTCACACTCGACAGGGGAATAGTGCCTAGGAGAAGGTGGTTTATCACACAGTTTGTTCACAGTGCTGTAAACAGGTTCAGGAGGCCTGGTGATACAGAGACAAGAGTAAAAGATCAGGTGCATATTAGTTGCTGAGAATATAGAGAAAACACAGCAATCATTTTAAAAGCATGCATTTTAAAAGCAAATCTGTCAAGACCTTTTCAGTGGGGCTTTTCCAACAAATAAAGTGTGCTGTTAAAGGAATTGGTAAAATGTCATAGTAGTATGGCATTCAAGTAGCTGCATATAAAGATATACACAATACAAGTGGACCATAAAAATCCCCAGTGGGAAGTGTGGCACTGAAATATATCTTATATCTGAAGTTGAGAATATCTTATGTCTGAAGTTGAGAAAATGAGGCAATTTCCCCCATAATCTTTCTATTTTTTTAATCTAACACAGCTTTCTGTGATCTTAATTTTGAGTACAGCATAGAAGAAAATGTTTGTTACCTGAAAAATAAGTATTTTTTACCCATTAATTTATAATATAGATGAAATACATATTACTTGTTAATACAACGTACTCCCATCCCAGTGGGCTGGGACTTTGTAAGTAGAGCTGTTGTCAAATTGACCCCTATCCTAGAATGACATTGATGGCAACAAACTGTGCGAGCAATTAATCTCATGGGCAGGCAACTCGTTGTGTTTCAAGAGTTCTTTGCACTCTTTCCAGATTTAGCCTTCAAAATCTGATTATGCAGACCACATCTGAAACAGTTAACCTCACTGCCAAGGCTACTGCAATCGCACTTGCAACGCTGCTCCAAGTTGCAAACAGCAGCCTGTGAAGTTAGGTACAAAGAGTAAGATCTTAAAACACAAATTTTCCTCCTGCTGCCTAGGGCCCCCTGCCCGGGGAGGCAATACTTACCACAGCCCTCCCATGGGCCGTCTGGAGAGGGGAGAAGGGAATGCAGCCTTTAGTACCAACCAGGCAGGGATCCGCGGGAGAAGAACAGCGAGCAGTTTGCAAAACAAACCCACACCACATCCACATCCATCTCCCACCTTGCAACTTCCCTGCCTTGGCCCCAGGACACACCTTGGCACTGTGAAACTTGACTCCTTGCTTCCTGACATTTCTGCTCTAAAGAGTGCCAAGGGTCAATTGCTATCATATCCACGTTTCTGCCAGAAGATCCAGGGTACGCCACTGCCTTTCATCACTGTCATACAGTATTAGCTAGGTGGAAATCTTATTTCAGAAGACTGAAAATATCAAGAGGCCAAGAAGTTAATGAACTTTTTTTGTTCTTCTGGCTGCACTATGCCTCACATGGGTGTGGGTATTGCTCTGATTTTCACAGGTACCAGAATTTATTACAGTCGTGGATGTGCTGGCAGATACAGAGAACCTAATTTCCTTTGTTAGCTTCTGGGTTTGTCCTTTGGGGGAAAAGGAGTAGCTGTTTTACTTAAAAATTGCTCTTACTCACTGTTGGTAACATTATTCATAGCAATCTGCCATATGATTTGAGAACTCTCTGTGCCTGAATTTCCCAGGGAAAACTTCACAGTTAAAAAACTGGCAATTTAAGATTACCAAATAGCAAATAGCAAAGCTGTCACTCATTTGGTTATAAAGTATTGTGTCAAGCACTTAGTAAAATCCCTTTAAAAATGTTTAAGGTAGTAATCATTTTCTATCAGTATATTTTACTTGTCTCAGAGGGCTGGATTTAATAATTTATTTACTAAATCAATTGTTGCTTTCAATTAAAAAATGCAGATAAAAACTAATCTATTTCACTTTTGTCCCATACTGCCTTTTATTCCCTTAAAAACCACTTTTGCTTTTAGGCAATATATGAGAGAACAAGTATAAAGATCAAATAAAAATAATACCTACTAAGAAAATTGAAGAAATATTGCCCCAGTGCAGGAAGATGAATAAAAACTGTAGATTCCTCCATGGTTTAAAACACTAACCAGTCCATTAAAAATTTGTTGCAGTCTTATATTCAAGTTAATTGTCTTCTCTGAGTTATAGACGACATCGGTGTTGCTACCCCTTGGATATACTGTGAATGCTCAAACTACGCTGAGTCATCAGTCAGTGACCATCCAACCTCATGCTGAGACAAAAATCATGCCACAGAGATGGGCAGATGTGAGGAATTTGTTAATTGACAGTTACAAGCTGCCTCCAAAAGCAAAATGAAGTTAAACATTCAATATCTACCTAGATAGTGACACCAAATTAGTACCTCAAGTATAAACACAGAGTACTAACAAATTGTCTTACAAGGTCCAGCAAATTTTAAAACATTTAGCAAATGTTAACATGTTTTAAAACAATATCTGAAACATCTTTTTACTTCATTCAGTTTTCCTTGGTGGTAAGATAACAGGAAACTGGAACAAGTCTGAGTATAAAGTACGGTACTCACTGATACAAGTGATAGTGTGACCTAGTTAACTTCATACCCTCTGTATTTGAGCTGCAGAGAGAGGTCTTAAGGTTAAGAAAAGGAATTTATACTTCTTATCCTTTTAAAACTTAGACTCTTTGGTTAGAAGAGGATTTAGGATATCAGCTAATTCCAGTTATGAGTGCACTTTGTATAGGGCCTATGAAATGGTCTGAGATCACCTACTTCCCTTCAGAAGTCACTTCCTTCAAGGTCATTGAGAGCATGGACTACACTGGTCCTTTAGATGCCTCTATCCTATTCAGATGCATGGACTAACAACTGCCAGCTGCATAGCTGGGCTCTGACTGCATGTTTTATTGGCACAGAAAAGCAATAATTTGGGAAAAAAAAGCAGTACATAACATCCAGTGTCCAGGAAAATCTTATTTTCTCTCTTTTATTATAATCATCCAGGATAATCTTATTTTCTCTCTAAATTTGGTGTAGTAAATATGAATTAAGAAGTGTAAAAATATTTGAAAGTTGGGCTAAAAAAATATAAATTATATGGGGCAGATCACTGTCCTGCTCATACAAACTGTGTTCCATGTAGGCCATCAATCACAAGAAGTAATATGAGACACTTGCTGCAACAGCCTGTGTTCAAATATCCTCCTCATTCTTCACCTTCTCTATGGCAAACTAATACTTAACTACAATAGCAGCCACCTACTGGAAGAAAACAATACCCTATTAAAAAAAAAATTATTAAGACCACCCAGCTTTATTAAATAATTGTTCTAATGCAGCTTTTTTCTCATGTCATTTATATTTCTCCTCACAGAAAAAAGAAAGAACTTTTTTCCAAAGGGATCAGCCCACGTGATAAATCCTGTCTCGCACATCTTCTCCAGTGCTATGTCAGAGACAGATTGTCCCCTCTCAAAGCATGGGATAATGAGAATGCTATTTACAAAGAGTTTTTAATGTGCCATTATGAAAAAATACAGCAAGGTCACCTCAACTTTTCTTGCAAAAATAATTAAGAGCCAGCATGCTAGTTTCACCTGAGGAAGGACAGACTCATGGGTTTTTCTCAATAGAAAAGCCTCCTCTGAGTCTGATGGGGTCAATTGAAGGTTGGCTTGGTTATTGACAGCCTGAAAATCCAATTGGAGAAGTCAGTTCGCTCCGTGAACACACATTTTGAAGGAGGTATCCCGTGAAAAAGCTCTCTTTTATTTCTGGTGATTGAGCAGGTAACACCAACCCAAGCTCCCTCGATACAGGGGGGGCTCAGGAGGCCGCTGGGCCCCGTTTGCAAACCAGGGGACCCGATGGCCGTGGGGAGGAAAGGCTCACTGATAACACCTTAGCCCGGCTTCCTCCCCCCTGGGCCCGTGGCTCTGGGGGGTGCCCGGCTCCTGCTGCTGCCTCGGAGCAGCTTTGGAAAGGCCAGGCCTGCCCAGCCCCGCACGGCCTGGGGGAGGCAGCCGGGCCTGGCTGGGAGCAGGGGTGGCCATGGGCAGGGTGGGGCTGCAGCCCAGCCCCAAAAGGCTGAGTGACACCTCAGCCACCCCTCACCCAGCACGGCCTGGGCCTGGCCCAACTCTTGCAGCTGTGTGAAACTTTAATTCTTTAGTGCTCAGATAAGATTTGCAAAACCTCCGGCCTTCCTTTGAATATGAGAGGGGAAAAAAGAGATTCTCCAAAGTCAGTGAAGCAAGAGCTAAGTTTTTTAGATGGAAGGAGAATGAGGAGATGCTGTCAAGGTGGCTGAAAAGTCCGTTTGTAAGATTGTAGGGATGAACTGATGTACTGAATATTCCTATAAACCATGGAGAAAGACATGGGGGGTTGGAGATGTTCCATTTGATAGATGATTTGACCAGTAAGCACCTGTGTTGAGAATCTTTGCCCTGAGGAAAGAAGGGGATCTCGGTTTTCTGAGGATGAAGCATGAACAGAGATAAAAGAGATGAAGAGAACCTTTGCTTTGGAACAGTTCATTCTTAAAAGTAATACCCCATGAGACAGACATGGCCCACAACCACAGCTCTGGGAAGGCTGTGGAGTTGGGAGGAGTGTCACGATTGCAGGTTCCCGGGCAGATACAAATCGTGAAAATGAAACCACGAGAGGACTGTTTGCTTCCTTCTTGTGGAAAAAATCTCTACGGTCCAACAAGAGGAAGCTGCTCTCTCCGAAGTGAACCGAAAAAAGGACTATTTAAGCTGGGAACTGACTGAAGTAGATTTTTTGTATGTTTGTTTTGTTGTTATGAAGGTTGGGAGAGGGAAGGAAGGAGTGGTCTGAAATCTTATTCTGAATTTGGTTTTTTTCCCTTCTTTGTGTAGTTAACAAATTTCTTTTTACACCCTTTTAAGTTTTAGGCCTGCCTTGCTTCTGGTTCTGTCTCACAACAGAAAATGAGTATATTTAAATTGGCGAATCAAAACCATGACATTATTTGGTGCATTGGCTGGGAATTGAAATTAAACCAAGACATTTTTCGGGGAAATTAAATTAAACCAAGACAGCCAGACTGAACATAAACTTTAAGGGCTTACTTTATGATGCACTAATTCTTCAAATGAATTTCAAAATATGTAGCAAGCCATTTAGAGTGCTTTAAGAAAAGTATAAAGGCTAGATATATATTATTTAAGGACTAATTCACT